GTAACTGAGTCACTGAATACAAGTGTCAGAGTGTGTGTGTGTGTGTGGGTGCGTGCCAGTGCTGCCATTATGGTGCAGGCTTCCGAGGCTTCCAACATGTGCGTGTACAAGCGAGGCATTTTCTGCGTGTACAAGCGAGTGCCATGCCGTCCAGAAATGTGCTGTGTGGGTGAAGACATCTGATGCATTCACTTTGAGGTCCAACCCAATACAGCAGGTTCATACCTGGATGGAATGTTGTCACACGCTCTTTAACCCAGCAAGATACTAGCTTCCCGTATCTTCCTCTTGCGCATGCTTGTAGAGAAATAACCCTGTTTACTTTCTACTGTTCTTCCTCTCCACTCTTCCGGAACCCCTCCAACCCCCACCGGCCCCAGGTGGGCCCCACCTGGTTCTCCGCGGCAATCCGCTCGGCCTCCCGCCGCTGGGACTCACCATGGAGACCTCGGGCATCCCACAAGCATCCCCAACCCGTCTCAGGGGATGGGGGATGGCTGGGGTGCTTCTTTTTCCCTTTTTACACCCGGATCTCTGCAGCTGTCGGTCAGGACACGCCATGTGCAAGCCTTGCTGAGTGGGAGGTGGTGGGATACTGTGGGGCCTAGGGTTCAGCATCCGATGATTCACCACCGGTAGATCACGACTGGCCCACCTTGAAAGCCACAGCCTCCACGGCTTCGGTGCCCTTTGGGCGCCCGACTTCGCGGCCTAGACGTGCTACTGCTCATGGCATCCGCCAACTGTCAGCCATGCAGGGATGAAAGGTCGCAGAACTGGTTTACTAGGCAGGTAGCCATCAATCAATCGATTTGTCCGGTGCGTGCTCTTTCTCTTCAGGGTCCGTTTCCGTTCTGGGACTGTTGGAGTGATCTTTCCAGAATCTTTCGAACAAGGAAAAGACTCCAAAGGAAAAATTATGGTCTTGATAAGCAAGCGAAAAAGTGGTCTTGTGGGCACCAACGAGTGCCTGGGCCAACTGTGTTTGCCCTGTTGGAAGGGGCAAACATCCCCCTTTGAACACTGCAGTTTCACAGCAATGTCTCCAGTAGCATTCAGAAGAACCTGTAGGAGCCTGCTGTCCTCACAGAAAAGGGTTAATCATGCTCAAATCCACTAGCAGATGGGTTGAACTTCCCATGACTTCCCCCATCCTTAGGGAGGGGCGTCTCGTCTCGGGGGCGGCAGCTCAAATCCGTACGGCAGACTGGGGAGCCTCAGTACGGCCAGGCGCCTGCGAAGGCTTAGTGTCGATGTTGAGCATCTTCTGCAGCAGTATGCGATTCTCCAACTGCCAGGGCGTGCAGATTCTGGGGGGACTGCAAACCCTGCAGAAGCCAGACTGTGGGAGGGCTGAGCAGCAACCATCCCTCTAACTTCTCACTGTAAAAAGAAACAAAAGATGGATACGGAAACTATTGTTCAAGTTGGTTGAGAATCGTTTGATATGTTGGTGTCCCTGTAGCCTAGCATATACTGATCAGAGTTACAAAGTTGTGGATAAACATGTAGTGTGTTCGGATTTTTCGTATTTCGCTTGGCCAGAAAATTTAAATTTTAAGGCCAGGTGATATCTGTTAATTCACAAGAGGATCTGACCGTATGGATCTGACCGGTTTAACTCTGAAACGGGCAAAATCACCTATAGCGGCTTGCCTTCCTACTTGCCTGCTACTTGCTTACGGTACATATTTCACCCAGCTATCTACAGCTATAGTAAAACATAGATCTTAACTTCCTGGCCTACTACCTTGGACGTACAGCTCACGGATGGATCCATTCTTCCTGTTGATTGCCCCTCATCCATGGCGAAATTCCCTCATGACCAGAGCTCCGGACGGCGACCGACCGTTTCATACCGGACGGATGGCACCTGGATCTCGGCGGCCCGGTCCTGGCGGTCGGAAGAGAACGACAAGTGCGGCTTCGCGGGCATTTTCGGGAAGGAACTCCTCATAGAGATTCCGGACAAGGAACTGGCGTGACCCGAAAGATCATTCCACAGATAAAAAAGGACGAGAAAACAACCGCTCAGAGAAGGTTGATGATTGTTTCGTCTCTTCAATGGTCGAGAGTCTGTTCCAAGTAGTTGCATCTGTTCCGAAATCGGTGCTCCAAAAGCCACACTCGGGAACTGCTTGGAGGTTTTGTTTCTCTTGTTAGGCAGCAGTTGATCTAGGTGTGGTATCACTGGAATCACTGGGATCTGCAATGGATGGGAGATCTCGGTAGGAAGGACTATTTCTAGGGCACCCCTACTGGTGGCCCTGAGGTATCCGAGTTTCTTGGCTACGTTCTGTCAAAAACGGCCTGAGTAAATGCAAATCTGGTTGACCACCAGGCAAGAAGTATACAGTATACTATACATCTACTGCGGAGTCAGAAAGCAATTGCAACACTTAACATCTTGGGACACCCTCGTGATCAAAGAACACACTAAAACTCGGATGCCAAATTATGCAGTATTTCTGTTCAACATGGCCCCGTGCACCACAAAACGTTGGAATCGCTCACCAGCTGACCCACGCCTCTTGGAGCTTTCGAGTCTTTAACTTCGAGCGAAGATGCGTGTGCTCTTTGGGCTGCCGAGCATCTACCTGAGCTCGACTCCATGAGCGACCCAGAGTTTGAACCGGCTTCGGGGCCATGCCGGCTGATGAGTTTCTGGTCGACACCGTTGGAGGTGTCAACTTGTGCATGTCGAGTACATCAAGCATGTTCAGAGCAACAAATTGTGTTGTGCATGCAGCGCATGCATACACCAACTCCAAGGCGTTGCTCAGCGTTGCTCAGCTCTCAACTTGGCCCCGGGTACTCTCCAAGGCTTGGAGGTGTCTCTCATGGCCTTCAAGGCTTTTCAGTCCGGAAAGTCTCCCCGGGGGGGAATCATACTCCAATTCCTAGGTGTACCACCATCTAAATTCCATCTAACTCCATCATATTCCATCTACTTGCAATCAAAACATATCAGATATAATTGCATAATTATATAGCGCATATATATATAGATATTACAAGTGAAAGTCACTCCGAGCTCCCCACGCCGCAGCTCGGTGCGTTCCGCCACCAGGCGGTTGCACGCAGACCTTGGACTGCGGCTTCCAACACCGCGTGAAACACCCGGCAGCCGCTTCAGCGATGCTCCCAAAAAGAAAAGGAGCCCAGAGCGTTGAACCTAAGGGGAAAGGCGCAAATCCGCGGGTGGTTGGATCAGAGAAAAATTCCCTGGGCCCACAGGAAGCTTCACGAGCTTGGAGACCTTGGAGCACTGAGATGCACTGAGATCACCCCACATGTTCCATAGATTGCCCTTGAACGCCGGCATCTTCACCTGCGACACATGAGCACACATGAACTGATCCGCTCAACTGCCGTGAGCACACGTCAAATACCTTGCTTTTTGGGGTTGATTTCTTTCCACCATCTTGTTCAACAAAGAGAAGTTCAGCATCGAGAATCCCTACGCCTGACTGACTGGTAGTTGTGTAGGTGTTCAATCTCAGGTATTGGATGGTGTTGAGCTTTGTTGTTGTGTCACACTCGGTCCGCTCATCCCCTAGCCACTGCAGGGGTGGGGTAGTGGCCCTAGGCTAGGCCACTACCGGCCCCACCGTCCGGCCTGTCCAGGCCCGAGCGTCGCCACAGGGGGCATCGACGGGCGTCTGGAGCCAGATGGCATGCGGTCCGTTGATCTCCACGGCCACGGAAAACTCTTGAAAAAGTCGGAAGTCGTGTCGTCTTTGTTGCGTTCGGAGGTTTGGGGTATACTGACTGTCTTCTTAAAGAAAAGGAAGTGCAAAAGGAAGTCTTAGGCATGGGGTCTTTATCTGAAATGAATCAAAGGCGGTCACGCCTGAGTCACCCCAGTCAACCTGTGGGTCCCACTTCCATTGGTGGAAGGTGGGGGTAAAGGGACCTGACGGGTCAACCTTGGAATCTAGCGGAAGCCAGAGTAACAAAGACGCTACGAACGGGGCTCCTGGCCTTACTACGAACGGAGCAAGGACGCTACGAACGTAACAAAGGGCATCGCTACTAGCTGAGTTCTTTCGAAGTACAGCCCCGATTCACCTTCACCAGGGCTCGTGAGCAAATGATCAACTCATAGTCTTCACTCATTTCCTCTGGTATCTGTGGTCCCTTTGCATGTCTTCTGGAAGGACATCTGTATGGCTGTTCAACCTGTCTGACAGTAGAACCAGCTGGCTCTCACGTATTTTCAGTGGCGCGGACAGAGCCACCGCTATTGGGTGTATCTCAAAATGGCGAGACCTCCACATATGTTTTTTGGAATTCGATTAGCTTTTTCGTCTTTGGGGAGGTTCCCCATCCAGCGGTCCCCTCATTTTGAGGCATCCCTGGTGCAAAGACACTGAGCAGATCATCCAAAAGTGAAGCTGCGGGACAATGAGCACATCTTCTGAACAAGGCATGAGCCTTATGAGCCTTTGCTACTGCAATCTAACAGAGGATGCACCATCCCTTTAAGGCTCCGCCTTCGATTCGCGGGCAAATCGAGGGTGAATCCGTCACCGTTGAGCCAAAGTTGTGCAAGGGAGCATGTGGTGGTAAGGCAAATCATGTTCCTTCTGAAAGTAGCAGCACTCTCATATCCTGGGGTGGCCAAGCCACAATGACAGTGTCCTCAGAGACGTCATTCCTTGCAACACCTTAAAGCGCTTGAGGAACCATCCATTTCAAGAGTATCCATGGTCAAGTCATTCAGACATTCCACCTAGCGTCCAAAATGCTCACTTTGGACAGCTGGCTTGCCAACGGTGCTGCCTCTGCAGCCACCAAAAGTGAGGTTGATGCGTCAAAGCAAACAATTAACTTGAAACTGATGGGATAGCATCCCCAACAACTACCATGGAGTCACCAATGGCACAATTCTTACGGTGATGAATCCCTCACGGCTGCGCTCAAGCTCAAACTCAGCAGAGGAGCTCGATCTTCGCGCGCCACGTCCCCGACCCTCTTGGCGTGTCCTCGCGCCGTTGACTCACTTTTGGCCTGGAAGAGCCATAGGCAGGAGAAGTTGTTCAGGTGTAAAGCATGAGAGAACCCCAAAAGTGCCCAGGACCTTCATAGTGGGCCACAAGCATGCACCTGAAAGAGAGAAAGGTGACCACAGGTGAAGAGATTCAAAGGTTCGTTGCGGTTGCAGATTCTTGAAGTCCTCAGCCCCAGCAAGACAAACCCAAAGCAACCCTACAGTAGTGACAGAAAACACGAAAATCGTTGCGTTAGAGATCCCTTCCACTGCCCGGATCCGCCGCGAGCTTTTCTCGCGGCTCTTCCCGGTGCCTATGAGGCTCGCCACCAGGAGGCCCAAGCCATGTTGAAGACCACCAGAAGGACCAAAACCAACAAGATTGCATGCTGCCTGGGGTGCACAAACTAAGAAGTGGAAGATTGAGGGGGTTAAAACAAAAAGGCATGTGTATATATATATATATATATCTACACATAAATGAGCCCGATAATTTCTCAAACTGCACTCTGATCTGATGGGTCAAGATCTAGTGGAATCACCGGGTGATGACCCGGAATTTACAAGCTATGGTCGCAATCACTATCGTTGTTTTAGCACTAGTAACTAGTTACAAGGGCATTACTACAAGTAACAAGAAGCTACTAGTAACAAGTGCACTATTTACAAAATTCTGACGGCCGAAAGATCTCTCAGTAGATGCCTCTAGACGTTGTCGTTTCTGGGCACCGCGGCGTCTTTTGGTGCTCGGCTTCGTCCTGGCACTTGCTTCGATCACGTTGACAACCGATGCGAGTGAAGCATAAAACGCTGGGCTGAAGGGTTGCTATGCTTTGGTTTCGGATGGTGTTTGAGGCCAGCCTGTGCTTGTGCTTTCGATGCTTTATCATGCTTTATCACTTTAATTGAGCTTTGGGGGGTCTGAAAGAAGGATTTACTCATTTATGGTGGCAACAGCAGGGTGAATCATGGGGGGGACCTTTGTGGTGAACTCAGAAATCTGTTCATGATGAACTTCTGGTTGCTGTGGGCTTTGTTCCCTCTAAGGTCTGGACACTCTAACATGGTTGGTTGGTTGGTTGCATCACGTCAAGTTCCGGATGGTATGTAGATTCGCAGATCGCTCAAAGCCACTTTCAAATACTGTAGTGGATTATCTGAGAAGCTGCAGATTCACAGAGACCCCAGCCCCAGCCTGCGATCCCTTGGTCATTGCTCTGGCACAGCGGAATACGGAACCGGGCCAAAATTCCCTGCCACACGGTGGATGAACCACTTAGCTCACTCTCAAAACAGGGAGAGCACAAATTCTAAACGCGAAAAGTGCCCCCCTTTCGAGGATGGACCACCCCGAAGCACTGCAAAAAGTCACCGGCAGATGCCGATGTCGCTATCGCATGGCGAAGTCGGTCTTCGCGCGCCTGGTCCGTGAGGCTATCGCTTGTCGTCTTGGCGGCCTTGCCCGGCTTTTCGACCTTCTTTCCTCGCAGGTTCCGCGTCTAGTAACAAGGGCATGCCATTAGTAACAAGGGCATTACTACTAGTAGCTTGAAGCTACTAGTAATAAGGCACCTTACTGCTAGAAGCAAGAAGCTACTAGTAGCAGGGTCACCAGCCAACCGCAACGGGACCGGAGTCTCTCCGTCGATCCCCGACCACGAGCGGTTCACGTGGGGTTCCGGCGTCCTTTCCACCCCCAAGCAAACCGACCTATATAACTGACCTCACCGGTGTCGTTTTTACAGCAAATTCTGGAAAGTTTGAGAATGGTTATCAGAAATCCACCTCACTGCTGTGATGACCATCAAGATCTTTCCCTTCATGACTTCAGCCATCCACTTGCCTCCCCAATCCCCGTTCCTTTTCGAAACACAGCTGTGGAGACACACACCAAAAATCTACTCACATCTACATAGGTCCAAAAAGGCGGAGGAGGAGGAAAACAAAAGCTGCCTGAGCACTGAGCCATCCGAACATTTTGGGACATTGGACAGTGTTCATATGTTTGACTGGTCCATGTTTGATCTACAAGTGACTACTAGAAGTTGTGATAACTCAGCAACCAAGAGCAAGCATAACTACTCATGTTTCCGAAACAGTGTGCGTGGCTGCAAACAATTAAGTATAAGTCCATGCCCCAGCAGGAAACCCGGTTACTGTATCTTCTCGGTGGTGTTTTCCCGTTTCATCCGTTCTTCCCCCCAACGAGTCGGTCGAAAAAACGCACCCCGCGTTGACGGCGGCTCCTTTGCTCTTGGCCTTGGCCGCCTTCAGCCGTCCAGGGGCCTCGAAGCTGAGAGGCTGTTTCTCCCCGCGTCCACCGGGGGAGAGAGGCTGGACGGAAAAGAGATCATGTGTTTTATCATGGTTTTACATTGTAGACAAGGTCCGAACATGCAAAGGTCTCTGATATTCTCATCCCACAAAGTGCCAAGGCTTCAAGGATTGTTACTTGTGACCGCTGCTTGTTGATGCTTCGCCATACTGCACGAAGTTCAAGGGGCTCTTTCCAAGCTGAAAATGCTCATACAGAATCCCAGCCCAGTAAGCATGGCGAAGAAAAGTATCACTACGCACACCTGCTTCTGCTGCTGAGGTGCTGGTTCAGCACGACGAAAAAGCCAACCAAGACTCCTTGGTGGCGGCAATGCAACGAATGCAGCCTGCAAAGTGGCACTTGCTGAGGTCAGCAGTCCATATCAATCAGCCTTTGAAACAACCATAGCACCCTCAGCAGCCTCAGCACCCGCCAGGGATTGTTCTGTTTTAATCAGATGGCTGCGGGTTATGCTCCAAAAGATTAAAACATGGTTCATGATCCCAGGTCAAAAATCGTTGCTGCATCATTCTGTTGGAAGAAAAAATGTCTTACATCGTTTGACTTCTCTCCTTCAGTCGCTACCTTATGTTGGAAAGCCAAAGGCCCACCGGTCACCCATCTCATCAAACCATCGCCCATGCATGCACGTAGAACAAAGGGCGCCCGAGCCAGGATATCCTCACTTCTTCGCCTCCGGCTCAAGAAATTTGGGGCTCAAGACTTCTCCTGTCCCCTAGGGGTCACACTCTGACGGGGACCTGTGGCTCTCCTGAAATTGCATCGTTACCATCACTACCAAGCACCCTTCCAACACAGGATGAGGGGAATCGGGAAGCACACAAAACTTGTAGCAGAACACATGCCACAAACTCTGACCTTATGAATCCTTATGATGTGTCGTCGAAGTAGTTGTTGCCCCAAAGAAGCCATTTTACCAGGAACCCTCATCTCAGTCTGCGTCTTTCTGTTTCATGGCCCTCCAACTGGCCTGGCAAGCTGATGTCAGAGGGAAGATGCTTGCCATTGGGCCTCAGCAGAAAGTGACTTCGGTGCCGGAAGAGGAGGGATCCCCAAATACTTCAGTCAAAGTCCTCTGGACAGATGGAGGAGGAAATCCATCTGCGGACGTTGGCCTCCAGTTGAGAAAGACTCCAAAAATGCAATTTCCCGTTGTTATTTTCCCCGTTCACAAGTTGTCTTAACAAATCGAAGTCACTGTCCGAGGCGCCACAGGTTTAGATGACAAGTGATAAATCCTAAGCAAGGAGGCCCCTGAAAGGACCAGGTGCGCCAGTGGTCCAAAAGGGTCGAAAATCTCGTGATTTTAGATGCTTGTAGTAAAGACAGGCATATAATTTTACCAATCCGTGCCCACGAGCGTGATCGATGCAGATCTGGGCTTGCCCCGCTTCACCACAGGCTGATCAACCTCACGCCGCCCAAAGGCTTAGCACCCAACCCGCAAAGCCATCTTCCAAACGGAGGGCGGTGGTGACCCAAAGGCATCGTTTAGAGAACATGCCTCGTGCCACTTGATGTTGATGAACCTGTGGGAGGGGAGCACCATGTTTGTCAACCTTTCAACGTGCACAGGGCAGATGGTGCTTTCGAACGCCTTCTCTCTACGCCAAAGGAAGTGGGGCAATCATTTGATTTGCTTCCTTCGGCCCTGCACCAAGTCCTTTCTTTCGGATGCCAGTGGTTGGTCTCAGTCGTTCTGAGGGCCACACTTTGGGTTCAGCCTGCCACGTGGAAGACAACTGTTCATATTTCTTGCTGACCCTACTTGTCCTCCGTGAAGCATGGGCTGCCAAGATAGGAATAACAGGAAGGGATGTTATATAGCTGTAGCAACCTAGGCTTGGCTTGGCACATTTCAGGAAACTCGCGCTCCAGTGTCAAATGAGCAGCAGAGCGGGCACGCCTCTGCACAATTCGCGGACTGGCTTGGGTCCCCAAAAGTGATTTGCAAAGCCACACGAAAGCCCGAACCAGGCATTCTTGGAACCCAAGAATGTGAGACACCGAACCCTGTCCTTTGAAGTCAATGTTTGGTTTTTTCGTCTCATGGGCTGCTTCGTTTGGGTCTTCGTTCCCAACATCTCCTGATCTCCTGGGCTGCTTCGGACGCTCGGTGGATGGAGGTGGGTCCATCGGTCGGTTGCGGTCTATCGTCCCACGATCGTCCCACTGCCTTGCTGTGCTTCGCAGCTTTGGGCCTGGCGGGCAGCGACGGTGTGGTCAGCTTTTCCTCGGTGGTCGAGGTTTTTCCAAGAAACGAAGATGGTTTGGTTGTCGAAGGTTGTTCTCAACTTGGGAGGTGGTATGTTTCCTGAACTCAGGTGTTTCCTGGTATCTCCGTCTCGGTGCTAACCCAATGTTGCTGACCTCAGCAGAATGGTAGCCAACACCCCAAAGCATCCAAAGACGACAAAGAATGCCCTTTGGGGGTGAAAGGAACGAGCATGAAAGAGCTTATCTAAGCAGGGTTTCAGAGGGTCAGAACATGGCGTCTCTTTGCCGGTCTCTATCAGTACCTTTTTTTGCAGGGACCGATGTGGATTGTGGCCGTGAGCTGAGGTAGCTGACACCCTCAAGTTGTGTACGGAACTGATCAAGAAGCTTTGATCCCAAGTTTCTCACCACAGCCGGAACCAGCGCGCAGGGTCATGTATGTTCTCACATAGTTACCATGCCAGAGTTCAAGAAGGGAGAGATTTCTCAACTTTGTTGGATTCCAACCACCGGAAGCCTGGCCATTGCAGACTCTTAGACGCCTCGCTTGGGGCTCATGGGGCGCAGTGCAGGATGCAGCTGAGAAGCCCGCGTCCTTGACGCCAAAAGGTGCAGAAGAACCTCCAACCTAATGGCGATGGCCTCCAATGATGGCCTCCAAGCTACCATTTCAGAGGAGGATGATCTAAATCCTGGACCGCCTTCAACATCTGCAAGAATTTTCCCCAGTACTAGGAACAAGGACACTACTAGGAACAAAGAGCATCGCTACTAGGAGCAACGACGCTACTAGGGGCTCCTGGCATCGCTACGAACGGAGCATTCTTACTACTAGTAGCATGTAACGTTTCCGATACTCACCCAAGGAACCACGGCTGCTTGCAGTTGCTCTGCCAAGGCCTTGCCGGAGCGTTGCGGAGCGTGGGCCCAAACGATGGAATGCCTACACATGGGGACAAATGCCTGGTAGACATTCCTTCTTGCAAACCATTCGATAAATGCAACTTACATCAACTTACAACCATTGAAAACTTGAGCTTCACGACATACTGTGGATTCCAGTCACCGCCACAGCCCCCCCACCACACCCGGGGTCCAACCCCCGAGCCGCCTTGATTTTTGCCTTGTCATCGAGCTTCCGCTGTTCGAGCCTCACACTCCCGATGAATCCGGGCATCGTCCCGGGTCCTCCGGTTACGAGAAGAATACATGGAAAACCCTAAACCAAAACTTACCGGATTACAGGAGTACTTATATAACTTATATAGTAAATTGTCCTTTGTTACGTGCAACTGACTCAAAACCCCCACGGACCTCATGTTCAGGACTACAGGACGTATAGGACTGCAAGATTGCCACTGGCCCAAATCCAAGACAAACTCAAATACGTTTCTCGGAGTCTCTTAATCTCGTACAGTTGACATACCTGAGGCACATCCTGGTCATCATACAACCCAAAACCGGCACTGCTGCTTCCCTCAGGCCCCGGCTGCTGCAAGCGTTGCTCGGCCGATTTCACCCGCACCGCTTGCTCTGCCGCATCCTGGACAGAGAATTGGCTCTTGAGGAGTGCCAAGTAACCAGACACAGAAAGCCCCTGCAGAGTGTTTTCTGAAGTAGGCAGCCTGGCACTGACAATTGCACTGATAGCATCTGATACCCCATCGCAACCCAGAATAGGGCATCTCTCAAGCAAGCAGCCCCCACTTCAGTGTATGGTATGGTTCTCTCATGGGCAGAACTTCGCTGAATCCTGGCACCTAATTCCACCAGGTGATGGTTGGGTTTGATCTATCTAGGTCCTACCTACTGTATCTTCTTTAGAAAATCTTACAACCAAGATCTTCCACTGAGCCACTCCCAAGCTCAGTCGTCAGAATGTCCCACCAACTGTCAACTGGTGACTGCTGGGTCTGGTGGGTCTGGCGTGCGTAGTGGATGGCCGAGGAGTACGCTGGATGCCGTTCAAAATACAACAGCATGGCAGGCCAGCAAAAAAGGGTTTGGCATTCACCCAATTTCCCCATCCAGGCCTTTCGCCAATGTTCAGCCTCTTTCTTGAAGTCCTCCTGGGATCGCACCACCAAAACCCCTTCCCCCGGCACATCTGGAGACAGCGAACCCAGAAACAGATCAAAAAGACCATCGTCTTGGAAGTCACATCAATTTTCGAGCTCCCAGCTCGAGAGTCATCGAGGTACTTGTGTTTAAAAAAATATACATAAAAGACCCACTACTTGAAACCTTCCAGCGAGGTCTTCGAAGAGACATCGAGTCAGACTGGTGCCCTGAAGAGGTCAGACAGTCGGGAAAAGATCACGCGGAAGCTCTCAACACTTGGCTCCCCTTTGGTGCGCTTGAAGATACCTCTTGCCGACCTTGCCGATGTATGAAGCACGCAGAAGCATCTGAATACTGTTCAACCGCCCAGTATGTGAAGCACATGTTGTGCCCAAAGGCCCAAAGGATAACATTTGGTGTGTGTACAAGAATAGGGGGACGTTCCACACCCACGTACCGGTGCTGCCCCTCCTGCTCGACCCTCACGTCCGCACGAGCTTCGTTCGCTTCCTGGCGGTGACGTTGGGATGCGGAGCGAACGCCTGGACTTCGGCCGTGAAAAGACCCCGAAACCCTTCAAATCCTGCAAGATGGTCCTCAGATGTCCTCTCAAACGCCGGAACACGCGCCATGCTGAAAGCATGTCACCATTGTGCTTCAGGGTTCCAAGATGATGTTAGGACCTTGCATTACACGATCCCTCATCAAGCCTTCGGAATCATCTTGTGTCCATCGATCGAGTGGTTTGTCCATGTATACTTTTGTTCAGGCGCCAAAAAGCTGCCACTCTGATCCAGTCTTTGCTGGACATGCCAACATTCCACCTCAACTTGGCCCGTATCGTGAGGCCGAGCGAGATGTCCATAAGACCACAGCAGTTGGGTGCAACATTGGCTTCAGTCATTAGCTGTCTCCAGTTCCCTGCCTCCAGTTCCCTTCCTCCAGTTCTCTTCTTCCAGTTCTCTTCTTCCACTTCCCTTCTCCCAGCTCTCTTTCTTCAGTTTCTTGGTATTTCGCTGCTTGGATTGGGCAGGGGTCCACAAAACAGGACTTCACATCTTGGCTTTTCTCCAGGAATGTCAGTTGGCAAAAGCGTTCGTCAATGCTTGGCTGGCTTCGCCTCTTCTCCCTGTTCTCCTGTCATGGCTTCACCGAAAGCCAAAGCTTCGGATCCTCAGCGATCCGCACGGGGGCCATCCACAAGTCCGCGTGGGCTCCGTGTCGTGGTCCACTTCTGCGGAGGTGGGAGTGGAGGGCCCAGCAAGGCTTGCAGCACATGGGTTGGAAGCCGCGTTGAGCCGAGCTTTTGGAGGTCCAGCAAGGCAGGCCACAGTGCTAGGAGTCCGAAGCCAACTTGCACGGGAAGCAGACTGGCCCTGAAAAACCATGACTCAGGGCGCTGCTTGTCTTTGATTGGTAGGAATGCATCGGAATGCAACAGGCTCAATCATCAACTCGCTTCCACTTTGAGATTGAGTTGGATAGGAATACAAAGACATTGTGAATTTATTGGACAATGGTGAGGTAGTCTCAGGAGTATGAGTTTAAATCCCTGCCAACCCATACCATCCATTCATCATCTCAAAAGATGCTCCACATGGGATTAGATGGGGGTCTGGGGTCCAAGAGAGAAAAACTAGTCGAATGCCACGGAAGTGGGGAGATGTCAACGGCGCTCACCGGATATTCGACACCGAAAAAATAAAAAATAACATCCCTCATGCATATATAATATAATTGGTGTTTTTATCCGAGATCGAATGCCCGAAAAGGCAGAAAGTGTTTCTTGACCCTTGGGCCCTCTCCCCTGTTATTTCATCAGGCCTCACTTCATCTGAAAGCATCTCACTCAGCAAGCAGCACAGCAGCCCTACTGCATTCATCACCGCCAGCACCGCCGCATGGGCCACTAGCTCCCAGGCTCTTCGGCGGCTTCCAGAGCCATCGCGGTCCTCCGCGATCACGGAAAGAACGGAGGAGCGTTGGTGGGTTGGATCCATTTGGGGATTCAATGGGATTCATGGCTCAACAAATAGGTGGAGTACAAGAGCGTCCAACTCATTGTGCCACATCCCCTCATCTGTGATGAACCACATGCTCATGCACACTGCCCTCAACATGGCTTGCTCCTCCCCTTGCAGGCCATGCGCATAGCCATCATGCGCTCGAAGAAGATTCAACGTAAAGCAGGACTCGGTCAGTGCCAAGGTGAAACATCTGAGCGAGGCAACGCCTGGTGCAGCTGTGAGTGGCCCGCTACAGATCTCCCCGATGGACGGTTCTTCCTTCCGTCATATCCGTCCATGGCCACTGAAAACGGGGCTGTCGGGTAAACCCGGGTATATTGAATAGTGGCTCGTAATCATTGCGAATTGGCAATTGGGAAACTTGCGAAGGCTTGAACGAAGTCCTAAAAGCAAAAGTTAGGATCCAAACATGACTCGTTTTGAAGCAACGTTTGGACCTGTTTGGACCAGCCACATCGACCGAATCTCTCGCCGTCTGCACCTCCTGAACCTGGGCGTTCGATCTCGACCAGCAGTGCCGCCAGCAGAATCCCGAGCAGCACGCCCTGAAGAAGCCCCGCCACGGCCCTGTAAAGCACACGTCCACGCTCCGCCCCGACACAGAGTTCAAAGATCTCAGCCTCCTTGGGGAAGAGGAGAAGAACCTCCTCCCTACTTAATAGCCATGGCCTTCCCAACATGTAAAGCTTCTCTACTATGTGAGTTTGCCTATGGCTCTAAGAAATGCTGGAATCAACTGAATGGTGCGTAGTAGCTTACTTAGCCCATACTTCATTGAGTAGGCACCTACTTAATTAAGGTGGCGGGTCTTTTTATGTCTTTTTGATCAAAATGCCCCAATCGCCTCTCCCAACTTCTCCAACTTCAAGACCTCCGGCACTGCACACGCATTCACCGCGCACGCGGACAGTCCCCGTGGCCACGGGCCCCGTTCGACCACCTCACTCCGCGCCCGTGCGCCGCCGGTAGGGCCGCTGGCCACGGAGCGGCGGCGCCCCAGGGAGGCTGAAGTGGGGGCCGGCTTGAAGTGACTGGGGTCTCCCACGCGCTGAATGTAGACCTCCTGGCCTTTGTTTTGACTGGTTTTGGTGGAGTGGTACCCATGGAGTGCTTGAGGGCAGCTTTCATGATGTTTCTAGAATTCGACATGGTCTGACGTGCTTCGGCACGACAGCCCCTAGCACATGCTTCGCATGGCGGGCGTCACCCCGGCATCCCCCCCGAGGTGTCGGAGACGTTTCGGGAACGTGAACTCGTAGAGGAAAGCATGTTGCAAACGAAGTGTTTAGAACGCTAGTAGCAAAGGGCATCGCGACACGAACGGAGCGCTTGAAGCTACGAACGTAGCTCCTGGCCGTACCTACTAGGAACAAGAAAGTGTTTGGTTTCCCCACTAAATTACATGTCCATTGAAATCCCCTCCAAAGAGCTCGGGGTCTTCGACAACTATACACAAAGAAGCATCAAAGAACCATCAAAACAATTCAAAAGAAATGCCTTTCTTTGGACCAGGTGGCTTTTGTTCAACCTCCTTGGCGATCTCGGTGACTCCGGTGCAGGTCTAGGTGATGCGCCCTGATCAACGCAGTCTTCAGCATGCACTTGTAGTCCGAAGGGCGCCACCGGAAGCCCAATCGTGGAGGGCAACACACCGCTGAAGGCGGAACCACTCGGGTATGGACCCAAAGGCGGTGGGATCGCCATGGCGACCGTGTTAGGAAGCAGCTACTCTTTTTGTGTGAAACCACTGGTGTCAAAGCAAGTAGGGATTCTTGTACTTCCAAATGACCCCGCTAGAGTCGGCTAGAGCCCTGCAAGAACTTGCTTCAGGCAGCTCAAGCTTCGGGGGCAGAAGAAATACTGCCACACGAACCACTGCCCTTCAAACCTCTACTTGCTGCCCTTCAAACCTCAAATTTACCATCAAAACCTCTAGCACCATGCGAAAATATGTCGAAATCATACTTTTGGGATCCCCCAATTTAGGTTCTGCTTCAGTTTTACACCACAAAGTCGTGCAGCGGAACTTCCCGCCTGTGCTTCCAGGTTCAGCGCCACCTCGCGATCCTTGGATTCTTGCCTCATTCGATACGAGGGCCTACGAGGTAGTGCCAAGGAGGTCGTTGAGAACGGGAGGGCGTCAAGAAAGAGTAGGGTACGCTAGTAGTAACAAGTGCATCGCTTCTAGTAACAAGTGCCTTACTAGTAGTAACAAGAAGCTACTAGTGTTCCAAAGGAGATCGGAGAGACTTGGACTTCACCGTTCTGAACGGGTTTCCCCCATGGCAGCACACACTAGCATGGAAACCGAATCAAATCGAGAACGAATCCACTGAATCCACTTTTTCTGAGATGCCAGGGGGGAGTCTGATGTTTCTGGCGCCAAAGGGTGACACATCGTGAAACTCCTGACTTCTCAAAGCCAAGCTGTGCACCAAAAAATCGACGAGGCCTTGTTCAAAGTCAAACCGGCCGCAGCTTGCGAAGCCCGCAGCTGATCCGGATATTTCGGCAATCTGACAGCAACGGACCACTGCTGTCCCTTCTGTGGGGCCAACTGGCCAAGGTGATTGCGTCACAGTGGACTCAGCGATACTCATCGGCTCATCAGAAAATTCAGAACCTCGACTTGATCAATGGGTTGGTGGGTCTCAAGCAATCCCGGAGGACTTTCTGGAGGTCCGCATATAGGACTATGGGGTTCTGAGGTGATGAGATTTGGTGCGTGGCTTGGAGGTGCAGGCAAAGGAGCAGGAGCTCCAACTACCTGCGGAGGAGCTGTAGGAGGAGGATTGCTTGGCATGCTTCCCACGTTCCAGGAGTGTTGCCCGTCAGATGCATTCGGCGCTGGCGTTGCTTCTGGGTTTTCCATCAGTAAACCCAACGTCGTAGCAGTGCTCGCTTGATGGTGACCAGGACGACCAGGTGGTGAACTTGCATCACAAGGAATTCTGGGCATTCCGGGCATCCTTTCAGATGCTTCTGGTAAGCGAACAGGTACGAAATGATGTGGCGCTTCTGGAAATGAGAGCTGGCTATCAAATTCAACGTCCAAGTATCCTTGGAGCAACTTTCGGACATAGGTGCTCTTGCGAGCTTCTGCCTGCAGTTCATCATGAATCTGCTCCAACCTGCCCTCAGAAGCTTGCAAAAGCTCTTGCACGTCAGCTTTGAATTTGTCTCGCGTTTGCTTCCTGGGACGGTGCGTTGTTTTCGCCTTCTCCCCAAAGTTCTCATGGGAGAAGTGGCAATATCGGCATCTGGCGCCTTTGGGACAGCCACGGATCGTGGTGATAAAGACGCATGGATCACAAACTCCATTGTCGTGACTAACACGTTCAGCACGAAAGGTCTGGTCAAACCGTCTCATGCCCAGGGACGATACAGTGCTGGTGCCATCGTCCAGCACTGTTGTAGCCATCACTGCATCTCCTATGTTGTCCTTGCCCTCTTTGCTCTCTTGGCACTCATCATCAAAGCTTTGCGAGGCACTCTGCTGCATCAAATTCTCCTGAAGCACGGCAAACCATCCAGAAGAGGCTCCGGAGGATCTAGAGGCTGGTGAAAAAGAGCGGTCCTTGCCGTCGCGCTCGGTCATCTCGATCAAGTCGAATGGACGCCTATTCCTTGACTTTCACCGAGGGGGGATACTACTGTACTTGAGCCACCATGGCTATGGTTCCTGCAAGGTTCCTGTCCACTCGGTTCGTGCTTCTGGCGTGGTGAAAAAGCGCTCTGTTCATCAGGTCTGCTCGGTCCATGATTGATACCATCAATCCCGTTTCCCCAAGCAATCCACTGATCTGCCATGCTCAGTGTGTCTTTCCCAGCATCGAGTGCGCGGCAGCTGCCGCTTCAGGTCAGTGATCTGCTGCAACAGCTCGGCCTTCTCATTCAGGGCGAAGGTGTGCCTTGGTTCTACAAGGCTTTGGCAAGTTGGCCTTCTCGGATTTGCTCAGAGTCGTGGGACCACTTACTTGAAGTCGGTCCAGTTCGCTGCCAATGAGCTCGGTTCGGTGAGCTTGCTTTGTCTCTTGGTGACCATGGATCTGCATTCAGCACTACAAGTACCATCTGCTCGACAAACACGGTTACCATGGATCAATAGCTGGCCTGTCCCCTGCTGTGAGTTTGGACGACCTGCGATCGTGAAAGACTCCACAGACTCGTCCCGGACACCATACTCCGGCACTGCGCCTTCGCGACACATAGGCTTTGGCTTCCTCCAGGTCTCTCAACGCAGCAGCCTCGACACGATGGTTCGGCTCACCGTTGATGGACAACGAACCAGCTGCTGTGAAGGGTCCGCGGGATGGTGGGTGTCTTCATGGTGTTCCTGATCTCTTGTCCATCACTTTCTGGGAATTCTGAGTGAATGGTAGACTACGTCTGCATACTATTTGTTTTAGGAGGCCTTATATGTATATGTAAAACATATAAACAAACAACCTAGCAATAGGTACACCTCAAAGCCAGGATCGAAGAGTTGCATCAACCCCGGCACCTCACGCTTCTTGGCCTCAAACTCCCGGTGGTTCGCCTCGCAAAAATGATTGAAACGCCCTGGCCAGTCCACCGTTGTCAACCTCATGGACCAAGCTTCACTGCCTCAACTACCTATCTGAACCAAGCCTCAACCTGAAATTCATGCGAGTACTTTGTACACATGTCGTCGTCGTCGTCGCCGTCGTCGCCGTAGTAGTAGTAGTAGTAGTAGTAGTAGTAGTAGGAGTAGGAGTAGGAGTAGGAGTAGGAGTAGGAGTAGTAGGAGTAGTAGTAGTAGTAGGAGTAGGAGTAGGAGTAGTAGGAGTAGTAGGAGTAGTAGTAGTAGGAGTAGTAGTAGTAGTAGGAGTAGTCGGAGTAGTAGGAGTACTAGAAGTAGTAGTAGTAGTAGTAGCAGCAGCAGCAGTAGTAGTAGTAGTAATTGTTGTTGTGGTGGTAGTAGTGATAGTGATAGTGATAGTGGTAGTGGTAGCGGTAGTAGTCTGTGGTAGTAGTCTGTGGGTGGGATGAGAACTGGTGAGAATGCAACCGGTGTGAAAATATACATTATATTGTGCCCCGATTGGGGGAGAACCCCATTCTATGTCCAGAACAACATCAAAATGGACAGCCAACCCACTGGTCAGCTCATATCTTGCTTCATCCAGTTCGATGCCTGAGCAGCTTCTACTTGAAGCTTCTGCAATTGCTTCACCTCCGATGGCGTGTGCAGTTAGGGGATCTGCAAAGCGGATTCGCAACTACCATGCTTCCTTCCCTGTGCGTAGACATGCGTCCAAAATGGTGGTGGATCTTGATATGCACAGGGGGGTATGGCGTGGGCACTCTGCATGTTGTGCCTCTTTAAAGATGTTGGGTCTTTGACACCCAGAAAGTAGCTCTGACAAAGGTAACTCCTTGCCGTCTTCAAATCGGGATTGACACAAACGGGGATTTGTCCACATCCCCTTCTATTCCTCAGAAGAAACACGAACCGTCTCATACACCAACCTGGTGGCCGCATTCCCTCGCATCCTCAACCCCCACACTGACCCTCTGGCGCTCGTTGCTCAACTCCTTCTGCAAGTCTTCGTTCTCATCCTCCAAATGCCTGGAAGGGGGAACTTCCTAGAACTTCCTACTCAGCAATCAGTAGTCCATAGTTGCAAAGAATTCCCTTCACCTCGATTCATGTCTGGATTCTCTTCAATGTGTGTGTGTGTGGCCCATGTTAAACACTTGGTTGCAAGACAATCAAATGATACAACCAGGCAGCAAACCAACTGCTGTGGACCACGGAACCTCTTTTGCCTCTGTCTCTCACGTCCTCTTCCATCTCTGGACACGGGTCTGGCTGCGCTTCGCACTGAATTTCAGGCGGAACTTCGCTCTGACACGACCAAAATAAAGCAAATTGCTGTTTGTTAGGTGCCTAAGCTTTTGATGCTTGATCTGGACTTTTGGTTAGTTTGTTTGTTGGGGCTGAGTAAGCTCCAAGCTCCGCCCCTCAGGAACCAAAACTGAAGCCACCTGTGGGCACCTGTGCGCCGAACTGGAACTGTGGAGCAGAGGCATCATCAATGATGTCGGCATCATCATCCTCCAAAGGAAATAAGAAGATTTAAAAAGTTTTAACAATAAACTTAACTAATAGCGATGGCCTCCAACCTAGTAGCGATGGCCTCCAACCTAAGAGCGATGGCCTCCACCCTAGTAGCGATGGCCTCCAAAGGGAAGTACTTCTCCAAGATTTTCATGGCTTTTTGATAGACTTCCTCATTGGGATCTTCCTGTAGCGCTTCAATCTTCGGCAACCCATCTGCCGTCTCAATCTTGTTGGCAAAGGGGTTCTCAGCCATGCCCATCTCTTGCTGCTTGTCCTTGCCCACCTGAGCAGTGGAAACTCCGCGTCTAAAAAATGGTTGCGGTTCTGCAGTGGTGTTCACTCAACTCAACTGAAGAAGTACTTAAGTACTTGCTTGAATTGGTTGGACAAGAGAAAGGAAGAGATCAACATGTCTGGTCTGCAACATCACCAATCTGTTAGTCTCTACACACATATCTGTTAGTCTGCGTTTCCAGCCGACCAGCCGAGTCGGCCTTGAGGATGTTCTCCAAGGCCTCGAGGGCCACTCCAATAATCTTCGCATCAGAGACCGCCAACAGGTCGACCAAAGGCTTCACGCACCCACTCTCCACCAGATATTCCACCTGAAAAAAAGAAGTCTTTTTGCAGAGGAAGGAGGTGCTTTTCTCAATGTTTCGAAGCTTAGAACAAAGCGGTCGAAAATGTCTGAAGGAGTGAAAGTGCGGTTGAGTAAGTTGGGAAAGCACTGTCCTCTGATTTACCTTGCTAGGCGTTCTTTGGCTTTCGGTCCTTGCCTGTTGAGGAGATCCACCAGAGGTCGCATTGCTAATGGCCCATGCGGCTTCCTTCTTGATGTCAAAATCTGCGGTCTGAAGCAAATGGATGACCGGAGGCAACAGGCCGTTGTTGATGACCTCTTGAATTTGGTCCCGGTTTCCTGCGGTGATGTTGGAGATGGTCCAACAACTTTCTTTCCGGATGGCCTTCTTGGCATGAGACAGAAGCTTTAACAAGGATGGTAAAGCTCCACTCTGAAGAATCACCTGGGTCTGGTTGTCATCCCCTGTGACGATGTTCCCAACAGCCCGCAAGGCTGGAGTCTGCACCAGTGGTGAGCTGTGAAGTAAGAGCTCCACCAAGCGTCGGCACACGCCCGCCTGAATCACCGCAGTGATCCTCTCATTGGGACCATCGGAGAGATAAGACAAGGCCCAGCATGCATCAGTCAAGACCTCGCAATCCGAGGAATAAATGAGGTTGGCTAAGGTGCCCAGAGCAGGGGACACCCACTCAAAGGGAGGAGGAGGTTTGCCACGACAGAGGTTGGAGAGGGTCCAAGTGGCATTTCGCATCATCGAGGTCTTTTCAGACTCTCTCAAGACGGTCATGACCGGATGAAGGCCACCGCTCTGCAAGACTAAGTCTCTGAAGTTGGGGGAGTCTCCGGCGATGTTCCCAAGCGCCCACACCGCTTGTTCCCGCACATCGTCATTGGGAGACTGCAAAAGCTGCACAAAGATCGGCAGGGCACCGTGCTCCACCACCACGCGTGTCTGATCCGCATTGCCCGAGGCGATGTTGGTCAAGACCCAAGCGGCTTCAAACTGCAAGTCAGGGCGATTAATCTCCTGCAAGAGGTTCCCTGGAAACCCACCAAAACGAACGTCGACTCCCCAGCGAAGTCGAACGTCGACTCGCCCTTGAAACAGTCCAAACTTTAGCCCCTGAAGAAGGCCGCCAGTTTTGCTGTTGTCTCTCCTAGCTCGTGCGGTACTTAGCCATGGGCTATCCGAAAAGACCTCCGTCCTTGAGGAACTGAACAAAGCGCGGGACCACCCCGGCATTGATCACCTCCGAGATTGGTGGATTCTGCTCGATGCTGAGCAATTTCCGGAACTGCTGGGTGGCACTGAACTGCGCCTCCGAGCTTGAGGCCGCCGGGAAAAGCACTGTCCAAATGGGGGAACTGGAAGGACGGTTCAGGTCTGGGCCAGACCCAAGTGATCCACAGAACAAGGACGAAGTAAGCCTCTCTCTCTCTCTTTGCTTCACTCTTCATTGAATCTTAATCTTTAACTATTCTTTGCTTTGGGCCTTTTGGGGATGACCCGCAAAGCTGCTCTGCACAGTTGCGACATGTGGAGCTGGTCAGTTCACGTTCGAATCGCATGCCCCAAGGATTTGGAGGTTTTTCAAGCTCCCCCATGTCCAACAAGGGCACAATGACATTCCAAGCACAGAAACGACACAATGAAAGCTTGCTTTAGTGCGGATCCCAACGAAGGTAAGATCTGGTGGGAGTGCGCACTGTGAGCTTCAAAAACATCTAAAATGCGCAAGAGGACCAGCCGTTTCTTCACGTCACCTGGAGGTTGAGTGCTTTGTAGGTCCTAACCTTCACGTCTTCGCAACCCCTCTCCACGCCTGCGGGTCATCCGACATCAGCGCCTGGCTCAAGGCGGGGATCTGCTCGCAATTCGAGGGCCCGGTCGCCATACCGCTGTGCATCATGGCCATAGGATCCGGCAGCTGGCCTCGTTCGGGCCCGTTCGCTCACGTGAGTTGATGGCCAAATAAGAGACTGGCCATGCGTGGTGCTGTTGCTGCTGGGCAAAAAGATAATAGGAAAACAAAGAGGAGGCAACGGGATTCGCTCTGGAGATAAACCATTCAAAGCCTTTTTACATACTGAGCAAAAACCTTATTCAAAAAGTAAATGTAGTCTTTCAAACATGAGAGTCTTGAGATTAGAATTTCCCCCTCACCCCCCAACCGCCTGGTGGCAGATCGTTCACCATGCGTTTCTTCATCAAAGCCTCGTCCCTGGTCTGCTTTCGCAGCTGCACGGCCGCGTCTTCTCTTTTTCGTCGCGCATCATCTGCATCCACGCCTTTCTTGAAGGCTTTCTGTCGTTGGCTCAACCGGTCACCAAAGCCCGACATCTCGGAAGCGCGAACGAAGTCGCGCCGGCTAAGTTCGTTGAAAAGACTTGAGCCAAATATATATATATATATATATTGGCTGTGCAGCATGGAAGAACAAAAACACCATCACCACCCATCGCAGTAAGTGCTTCAGTTCTCAAGCAATTTTCACTCTTGCAATCCATGAAGGCCGCAAGAGGAAGCAAGGCAATAGAAGCACTTGATGGCAAGCCACAACATTCATGAAAGCCATCTGGCTATCTGGATGACCCACCTACAGTAGCACTGTCCTCACAAATCATTTAAAAAAGAATGTGCTTCTTGTCAAAGCATCGGTCCCAGCATGCGCCTCAGTTGCGAGAGCACGTCCTCATCCATCTCAATCTCATCCCTCTCCTTCCGCACTTTGGGCACTGGGGCATCCTGGTGATTGGCATCAAAACCAGAGACCGTGCCGCACGTCGTAAGACCCGCGTCTTGCGGTAAAACCAGCAAAACACTTGCTTCGCGGAAGAATGGCAAACTGACAGCGGTCTTGTTTGAAGCTCTTGAACCAGGGCCAATTGTGTGACATCTGTGTGCGGATTGCAACCACCAGGCCGCACACATGTCGGGGATGTCTAGGACTCGGGCTTCTACCCATTCGCAGAATTAGACTTGAACGCTTCAGTCTTCGCTACAGAAGCTTACCAAACACGAATGGTTGAGCCACTTCCGAGCAGCATCACCTCCGTATCACATCTGCAGACCAAGTCACTACAATTTCTTCGCAGTCTGCCTGTCAGTCAACCTGCTTGTTCTCCTCTATATCTAGGTGTACTGATTGAACAGAATCATAACAGGTAACAAGATAGGGAGAAAGATATCATCATATCACATCTATATAGGTCCAAAGACCTGCTTGTTCTCCCATCATCTGACCTCGACCTGTTTCGGACCGGTTGGCACCGGCTTCATCGCCTGGGGAGCTGCAGAGCCTCCCTGTGGGCGACCAGTCCAGCGGCGCGGGGCAGGCCTGTGTGTTCGGAGCCACAGTCTATATTGTTGAGCTGAATGAAGCTTGACTGACATTGGAAATTACAACCAAAAAAAAACAACAAATAGGGGAAAAATGGAACCTGTTGTTGGTCCCTTTTTTGGTCCTAGTTGTTCATGCCCTATGGTGTTCCTAGTGTTTCCTATGTGTGTTCCTATGTTTTCCTATGGCTTTCCTATGTGTTTTCCTATGTCTCTCCTATTTTGTCCGATGTTTTTGTTTTTTCCTAAGGTGTTTGCTAAATGTGCAGTTAGTTAGAACGAACAAATCAATGTGCAAATTGCGGCAAATTCAGACAAAACAAAAGGAAAACAAAAATGAAAAATTGAAAAATATGTTTACTTTTTTTGCCCTATGTTTCCTATGTTTGTTCCATGTGTCTTCCTAATTTGGATGCTGTCCTCTTGTTTTTGACCACACTCAGTGGAAGCTTAACTCCCTCAACACAAGTCTATATTAACTCCTTTCGGTCTTTGGAGGCAGGGGACCTGATCTGAAATAAGCTTCAACTGGGGGATGTAGCTGGAACTCACAAAATCATGGAAATCGGAGGTTGCGAACAAACGGTTCCTGGAGGTTTCTTTCATGGCCATAAACCACTCAGATCCAAAAAGAACACCCCAGCTTGTGAAATTTGGTACTGCTCATCTCCCCCTACTACTAGCAAGAAGCTACTAGGTGGACGCCATCATCGCTATTAGGTTGGAGGCCATCACTATTTGGTTGGAGGCCATCGCTACTAGTAACAATAAAGCTTTCCTTGTTTTCTGAATTAGTAGCAAGGACGCTATTAGGTGGAGGCCATCGCAGTAGGTTGGAGCCATCGCTACTAGGAACAAGAAGCTACTAGTAACAAGAAGATACTACTCATTGTTTCTTTCAACTTCATGGCCGTTGCTTTCGGCCATGGGAGATTCCCTCAGAACGCATTCCTGCCTTCGATCTCATCAGGAGATTCCCAACTACTAGGTACTGAGGTTCAGTGCCCCGTCCCACTGAGAAAAGAAAACGCTCCAACCTCTTTTTCTTTTTGATTGCACCAATTAAGAAAGGAATCCCCTTGACGAAAGAATCCGAGCTTAGTAAGCCTGTTAATCCGAGCTTAGTAAGCACAAGGTTGAAATGAATTGGAGATCCTTTTACTGCTTCGTACAACACCCATTCGCCCTTGCAGGGAAAGCCTCGCAGGCAGTGAGGGCCACACCTGGTCGGCAGAAAGTGGTTGCTTCGGATCGTCATGCTTCCAATTTGAGGAAACGGTGGCGTTGGTTTGACCATGGGGCATTGGAGAGTTGCCCATTAAGTCTTTCACTTCATGGAAGAGCCGGGAAGACTAAGAGCTCGTTTTTAGACTCCAGAGTCTGTGCAAAATGAGGATGTTTTTGGAGAAAAACTGATGTAGAAGATGAAGTGGAAAGGCTCGAATAACGTCATTATCAAACATCTGCAGTTGAGCTACAGCATATATATCATATAACCCGTCGGCAAAAGGAAAAATGGACACAAAAACCACTTGGGTCTTGTTGGTTGAGCCACATCTGACTTCAGACATGAAGCAAATGTTCCACTAGGAAAAGGCAATGTCCAGTTTGTTGAGCTGTGACAGGCTGTGGCTACGCCGCGAAAGAAGACTCCACGTGATCGTTACTCTTTGTGGAACTAAGAACGAAATCCATAAAACCAAATGACGATCGTTCCCCCTCTTCAAAAGCAGGAAGAAATTCCCTTGAAACCTACCTGTGTTGAACATCGTTTCTTTCCGTTGACTGAGGCAGCTTGCTGCAAACTTTGCACGGATAGGTGATGCAAAGTAAAGAACGGATCCGCTTGATCCTTCCTTCACAAAGGACAGGACATCCAGTGGCCTTTCGAACATGGTGACAAATGGCAACATGAGTCGTCTGGCCTCTGTGTGGCCGTTGGCTTTGCCACGACCTCCGCCTGGCAGCGGAAAGCCGAAAAATCTCGGGGTGTTTGTTCATGAGTTTTCTGCCCCAGCTTCTTGTTACTACTAGTAACAGGTGCCACGCTAGTAGTAACAGGTGCCTTACTAGTAGTAACAAGAAGCTATTAGTAACACATTAGTTGTCAGAAGATGACGTCCTTCCCACGTCTCCAGGGTCTTTCGGCGATCCCGAAGGGAACAGCAAAAGCCGCCACCAAAGCTTTTAATTCTCGTTTCTAATAGCTTCTTGTTACTACTAGTAAGGCACCTGTTACTACTAGCGTGGCACTTGTTCCTAGTAGCTTCTTGTTACTACTAGTAAGGCACTTGTTACTAGAAGCGATGCACTTGTTTCTAATGGCTTCTTGTTTTATGGCGTTTGATGTTTTTGTTGTCTCCTAAATCGATGGATAAGTCCTTATTACCAGCATTGCAGACATCCGCATCTAAACCCATCTGCGTTCACCATACCATGTGTCTGCTCAACACTCCAACATCTTCGTTCAGGCCTGCCTTTTGAGCCCTTCTTTTGCTCAGGTGGTTGCTCATCTGCCCACTCTTCTTCATCCCCATATCCTGCTTCCTGGCTTGGGTTTTCAGCTTCAAAATCTTCTTCGTCGTCTGCTTCAAGCTCCTGCTCCCCTGCCACCTCTTCTGCTTCCACCTCCTCATCTGCTTCCTCCTCTTCCTCCGCTTCCACCTCCTCTTCCTCCGCGTCTGCCTCTTCTTCTCCTTCCGCTTTCACATTCTCTTCGTCCTCCGCCTCTTTCTCTCCTTCTGCCTTTTCTTCTGCTTCCTCCTCCTCCGCCTCCTCTGCCGCTTCCGCTTTCAGGTTCTCTTCTTTGTGCACATCTTCCTCTCGTTCCGGCTTGGGCTCTGCTTCTGCCTCTTTCTCTGCATCATCTTCTCCATCTCCTGTCTCTTCAGCTTGCTCTCCATCCTCTTTCCCTCCATTCACTCCATTCACTACGTGACCATTTTTCGCCACCTCATCATGTCTCTGCACCTCACCCTCTTCGAGGGCATCCTGCAGCTCACGCTCGCGCTTCGGCGGAAGTTTCACTTGGTCGTTGTGTGACGTCAACCCAAGTCGTCAGCATACAGAATGCTGGGGATGTGAATGAATCTGAGGGTTCTATGGGTGATCTGGCTTGGAAAGCTGTTGCTATGCAAAAAGAATCATGCTTGAAGAATTGGAACCGCTGTCGCTATCTATGCAAAATCGAAATGCAAGGATGTGTTCGGACATGAAAGTGGACAAGTGAGGCAGAGAAGAACAAAATCACAACCTGCCGACGTCAATATAAAAGACATAGCCAGGAGGTTGATTTCGGGGCTGGCTTCACATCTCTGAGATCAATTGAAACCTCTCCCAGGCCTCCACTGCCATGGCGAGTCCAGTCCAGGCACTGCGTAATTCAAAACGTATGTTTTGTGACCGACCTTCTCGAAAAGCCGATGTTGCTCGGTCTTCTGCAACAGTCTTCCTATATATGGTCCTAGGTGTTTTGAGCTCTGGAACTCTACAGCCTCTGATGTGCGTTGCAGCTGACTCTACTTGGTCTATCTTTTGCTGCAAGGTACTCTAGATCAGCGAACTCCATGAGCAAAATGAAGGATTTGGAGGCTTCTACTCGTTCCGTTGCCCATCTTGCTGATGTGCGTGAAGGACTTCAAATGAAGTCACATAGTCCTAGTTGTCCGATGATCTGTTCGCTCTCTCCATGTTGTCAACACTTGGAACAAACAAAGGAGCCAAAATAAGTGCGAAGCAATGCACACAACTTGGCAAGATACTCTTCATGTGTAAGCCAAGAGCAAAACTGCTGTGGGATCCAAACCCCGGGTCTTGCAGGACAACTTCAAATCTCCAGTCTCCAGCATGCTATGCTCACCATTTGGGGTATGGTGTCCAAAATGCCACGAAGGAACTCGTGATTGGCTCACAAGGCAAGAAACTCAAAATTCTTCCCCAATTCGCTTGCTTGTCTGCTCTGTCAGAGACAACAGATCGCATCCCTCAGATGGCTGGATGGGATGGATGATTGTAAAGAAACTAATAACCAATCATGGCCACTGCCGCTCTCTACTGCAGTCTTCTCATGGGTTGAAGAAGCCGCTGATGTTGG